AAGATAGTTGCTAATTGTGCTAGTAACATGCTAATCATGCCAGCAATATGCTAGTAACAGGCTAATCATGCTAGAAACATGCTAGTCACTTGTTAATCATGCTAACAACATGCTAGTCACTTGCTAATCATACTAACAAGATAGTTGCTAATTGTGCTAGTAACATGCTAATCATGCCAGCAATATGCTAGTAACAGGCTAATCATGCTAGAAACATGCTAGTCACTTGTTAATCATGCTAACAACATGCTAGTCACTTGCTAATCATACTAACAAGATAGTTGCTAATTGTGCTAGTAACATGCTAATCATGCCAGCAATATGCTAGTAACAGGCTAATCATGCTAGAAACATGCTAGTCACTTGTTAATCATGCTAACAACATGCTAGTCACTTGCTAATCATACTAACAAGATAGTTGCTAATTGTGCTAGTAACATGCTAATCATGCCAGCAATATGCTAGTAACAGGCTAATCATGCTAGAAACATGCTAGTCACTTGTTAATCATGCTAACAACATGCTAGTCACTTGCTAATCATACTAACAAGATAGTTGCTAATTGTGCTAGTAACATGCTAATCATGCCAGCAATATGCTAGTAACAGGCTAATCATGCTAGAAACATGCTAGTCACTTGTTAATCATGCTAACAACATGCTAGTCACTTGCTAATCATACTAACAAGATAGTTGCTAATTGTGCTAGTAACATGCTAATCATGCCAGCAATATGCTAGTAACAGGCTAATCATGCTAGAAACATGCTAGTCACTTGTTAATCATGCTAACAACATGCTAGTCACTTGCTAATCATACTAACAAGATAGTTGCTAATTGTGCTAGTAACATGCTAATCATGCCAGCAATATGCTAGTAACAGGCTAATCATGCTAGAAACATGCTAGTCACTTGTTAATCATGCTAACAACATGCTAGTCACTTGCTAATCATACTAACAAGATAGTTGCTAATTGTGCTAGTAACATGCTAATCATGCCAGCAATATGCTAGTAACAGGCTAATCATGCTAGAAACATGCTAGTCACTTGTTAATCATGCTAACAACATGCTAGTCACTTGCTAATCATACTAACAAGATAGTTGCTAATTGTGCTAGTAACATGCTAATCATGCCAGCAATATGCTAGTAACAGGCTAATCATGCTAGAAACATGCTAGTCACTTGTTAATCATGCTAACAACATGCTAGTCACTTGCTAATCATACTAACAAGATAGTTGCTAATTGTGCTAGTAACATGCTAATCATGCCAGCAATATGCTAGTAACAGGCTAATCATGCTAGAAACATGCTAGTCACTTGTTAATCATGCTAACAACATGCTAGTCACTTGCTAATCATACTAACAAGATAGTTGCTAATTGTGCTAGTAACATGCTAATCATGCCAGCAATATGCTAGTAACAGGCTAATCATGCTAGAAACATGCTAGTCACTTGTTAATCATGCTAACAACATGCTAGTCACTTGCTAATCATACTAACAAGATAGTTGCTAATTGTGCTAGTAACATGCTAATCATGCCAGCAATATGCTAGTAACAGGCTAATCATGCTAGAAACATGCTAGTCACTTGTTAATCATGCTAACAACATGCTAGTCACTTGCTAATCATACTAACAAGATAGTTGCTAATTGTGCTAGTAACATGCTAATCATGCCAGCAATATGCTAGTAACAGGCTAATCATGCTAGAAACATGCTAGTCACTTGTTAATCATGCTAACAACATGCTAGTCACTTGCTAATCATACTAACAAGATAGTTGCTAATTGTGCTAGTAACATGCTAATCATGCCAGCAATATGCTAGTAACAGGCTAATCATGCTAGAAACATGCTAGTCACTTGTTAATCATGCTAACAACATGCTAGTCACTTGCTAATCATACTAACAAGATAGTTGCTAATTGTGCTAGTAACATGCTAATCATGCCAGCAATATGCTAGTAACAGGCTAATCATGCTAGAAACATGCTAGTCACTTGTTAATCATGCTAACAACATGCTAGTCACTTGCTAATCATACTAACAAGATAGTTGCTAATTGTGCTAGTAACATGCTAATCATGCCAGCAATATGCTAGTAACAGGCTAATCATGCTAGAAACATGCTAGTCACTTGTTAATCATGCTAACAACATGCTAGTCACTTGCTAATCATACTAACAAGATAGTTGCTAATTGTGCTAGTAACATGCTAATCATGCCAGCAATATGCTAGTAACAGGCTAATCATGCTAGAAACATGCTAGTCACTTGTTAATCATGCTAACAACATGCTAGTCACTTGCTAATCATACTAACAAGATAGTTGCTAATTGTGCTAGTAACATGCTAATCATGCCAGCAATATGCTAGTAACAGGCTAATCATGCTAAAACATGCTTGAAACATGTTAGTGACATGCTAGTATCTTGTTAATCATGCTAGAAACATGCTAGTCACTTGTTAATAATGCTAGTAACATGCTAGTTATTTGTTAATCATGCTAGCAACATGCTAGTCACTTGCTAATCATGCTAACAAAATGTTAGTCACTTGCTAATCATACTAACAACATGCTAGTTACTTGCTAATCGTGCTAGTAAAATGCTAATCATACCAGCAATATGCTAGTAACAGGCTAATCATGCTAGAAACATGCTAGTCACTTGTTAATGATGCTAGCAACATGATAGTTATTTGTTAATCATGCTAGCAACATGCTAGTCACTTGCTAATCATGCTAGCAACATGCTAGTCACTTACTAATCATACTAACAACAAGCTAGTTACTTGCTAATCATACCAGCAAAATGCTAGTAACAGGCTAATCATGCTAAAACATGCTAGAAACATGTTAGTGACATGCTAGTATCTTGTTAATCATGCTAGAAACATGTTAGTGACATGCTAGTATCTTGCTAATCATGCTAGAAACATGCTAGTCACTTGTTAATGATGCTAGCAACATGTTAGTTATTTGGTAATCATGCTAGCAACATGCTAGTCACTTGCTAATCATGTTAACAACATGCTAGTTACTTGCTAATCATGCCAGCAATATGCTAGTAACAGGCTAATCATGCTAAAAACATGCTAGAAACATGTTATCAACATCTATCTAATCTATCTAAATTTTCAAACGTCAGGCTTTTACAACTGCTTTAAACTTTCAGGCTAGGTTTTCTCAAGCCTTCTCTTTTTATCTAGTTGATCCGTGTTGTTTATTTTAACCAAAATTAAAACGGTTAAAAATAGATTTCATTAATTGTAATAACATATACAACTTGAAATGAATGAATGAAAAACATAAACTAAAGAAAATGAAATGAAAATCAGAAATGTTGCCTTGGCAACTAACTGAAATTAAGTTGGTTCTATTTCAGAAGTTTTATTTATTTTTTAATAATAATAAAATAAAACTGAAATAAAAATTAATTAAAGCTAAATAGATCTATAAAAAAACCAGCAAAAATGCCAAGAGGACACACAAAGTTACTTAAATTAAAATGTAAAATTCAAGTTCATAATAGTAATACTAGCATTGTATGATTTTATCCCTTCTATGTATTGATTGATTCAAATACAATTTTCAAAAAATATTATAAAAATGCGTTTTACTTGGAACACACTGGTTTAGCAATTGTTCGTGTATTAATTTGAAAGAATTTTCTAACTTTATAAATTAAACAAAATTATATAATAAAACAAACAAAATAATATTTTTGTGTTAACATGCAAAATGTTTAAACAAATGAGTGGCTATTAATGTTAATTAAGTTATAAATGAGTTACAATATGCTTTAGATGAAAACATGTATGTTATGAATTTTAAATATAAAACCTGTGGCCATAAATAAAATTTAAATATTAGATAAAGAACTTTAATGAAATTTAGAGATGTTGCCTTGTTTTATGCTGAAGTGCTAAACTGAAAAAAATATATACATAAAAAAAGCTAAATGGATACATTTGGAAAAAAAAAAAGCTAATGCAAATCACAAAATTACTACAACTAAATATGCAGATTTTGAATGCATTTACATAGATGTAAGCTCCTCACCCTTTAGTGACAACTCACCTTTTTGAGATCTGCTTAGATCCGGCGAGAAAGTGTTTTTATGAGGGGGGTTCTTGTGATCTTACAAGGGTAAATAAAGAGCTGGTTGTTTCAATAAGTTTTGTATAGTATTCTATTTACTGTTTACTTCAAAAACTGTCTAAAAGGGGTAGTATTTTATGTATTTGAAGTTTGAGATGTGGGAACGGTGAAGAGCGAGAGGGCAAACATTTAGCATTTTAAGTCAGTGTTGCTGTCTAATCAGCCAGTATTGTCTTAAATAGTCAAGTCACCTTTATTTATATAGCGCTTTTAACAATACAGATTGTGTCAAAGCAACTGAACAGCATTAATTAGGAAAATAGTGTCAATAATGCAAAATGACAAACGTAAACACTCATTTTTCAGTTAAATAGCCTGCATAGCACTTCATATTTTATAGCATGGGATTTTGACCAGATATATTCAATCTTGATTTTTGTAAAATGTTGCAGCAAGTTGTTAATTAAAAAAAAAAAAATAATACATTTGTGAAAAATTAGTTTTGGACATTACTTAATAAAAAATAAAAAACCTTAAAGTAACTACAAATGAGCATGTAAAGCAAATATCTTTAAAAGCATGCCCCCGATCCGCACGATGTTCTCACCTTTTTTCCTCCTTATTACCTGTTTGCGTCTCTGCGTTTATACGAGGCATCAATATGAACAAAAATCACCATGAAAGGAGACCATATGACGTGTGCTGTATTTCATGTTTTCTGAAGTTGTTTACCGTTTGGATGTTCTCTGCTGTCTGCTGAGTGAGTATTTAGCGTCTTTAATCTTTGTGCGTCCCAGACAGATGCTCTGAGTTTAGCAGTAAGTAATGACTGAGCGAGTTTGCCTTTATTCATGTTTTAACAGGTCCCTTCTCTCTGTGTGTCTTTCGCAGGCCGTTCTTCGAGGGAATGTCCCAGTCGAGCTCTCAGACGGAGATCGGCAGCTTGAACAGTAAAGGCAGTCTGAGCAGAGAGCCCTTCAGTCCTGTGAGTACAGACACTACATACATCAGGCAGAGCTCCTCCACGCTCCTCAGCAGTTTTCTGAAAGCACCACATGCATGCGTGGAAAAAGAGTGCAAAGCATGACTCTGTGTATTAAAACGGATTCAGAAGGAAGTGTTTAAACATTAGAAATGTATAAGGTATAATGTATAACGTATCTTTTCAAGTCGTTTGAAGGCACTAAAGGACTTTTTGTCTCTCTTGGATTTTTATATCCGTTTGAATCAATCTGACAAATTTTCGGAATAAACAAAGAATCAGAACATTTAGAGTTTCTTTCAGTGATTAAAGGAACACTTAAACTATTATTTCAATTATTTGGAATATAAAAATGACACACAACTATTATATTTTTAATATAGAATTTTAAAGTATATTTGTATTTTTAGAATTTCATTTTTATGTTATTTTATATTTTAATATATTATATATATTTTAGTTTGGATGTAGTTTGCTATGGACTGCTTGGATTGTAAAGGGTTTCAACTTTTTTGTTCTCCTCGTCATTTTCTGTTTTTTATTTGTTTTGTTTTTACTTTAGGAATTTTGGTGTTTTTGTCATGGTTTTATTTATAAAAACATGTATTTGTTATATTGTTTTCATTACTTTTTTATTTATTAGTTTTAATTATTTCATTGTAATTATATTTTAGTAAAATGAGTTTAACTAAACAAAGATGAGTAATGTTGAATAATTTGTAGAATATTTTTTCTTTGTATTTTATATTTGTGTACTATAAGTTTAACAAATTAATATTTTATATGAATATTTTATTTTATATTTAGTTGTACCACTACAATTTTAGGAAAGGGTTCAAACTTTTTTTTGTTCTCTTTACAATGGAAAGTTTATTCATTCAGCTTTCAGATGATGTATAAATCTCAATTTCGTCCAGCTCTCATATCATTAAGCCCCAGACAGCTCAGACCTGTGTGTGACTGAGTGAGTGAGTGAGTGAGTGAGTGTGTGCGTGCGTGTGTGTGTGTGTGTGTG